CCCGGACTGTTACTGTAGCCCAGAAATGTGAGCCCAGGGAGGCCAGGACTAACTTTTCAAGAGAAAATGGACTCTGGTATGCGATCAGCACGTTTTATATGTTGGCAACTAACTCCATTTGTCTTATTTTAAACACAGAGTGCAGAACAGACCAAGTAAAACACATTTGCAGGCTGGATCAGGCACTTTGGCTTCCAGTTGGCAGCAATTAGTGACCCCAAAAGGGAGAATTTTAAGGAATCAGATAAATGGGGTATTAGTGTTCTGTTTCTGCATAACAAACTGCTACACTCTGCAGTTTACAATGACACTGGACCTATTATCTCACAGGGCACTTAAGTCAGAAGTCTGGCACATTCTAGCCAGGTCCTCGGCCCAGGGACTCACAGGACAGAAATCAAAATGTCCTCTGGGCATGTCCCCACCTAGAGGCTCAACTGGGGAAAGCATGATGTCCAAGCAACTGTGTGTTATCAGCAAAATCCATTTCCTTGGGCCCATATAATTGAGGTCCTTGTGTTCTTGCCAACAGCCAGGACCTGCTCTCAACTCCGAGGAAAATGTTACCCAAAGGGAACGTGCTCTCCCTCACTATCCTTTCCTTCAGCTGGCATTCCTCAGAGGTACCAGACTGACCTGAAGATCAGAATCCCCCCCTGCCCAGTCTGTGTATCCACGATCCATTCTCTGAGATGTGAGTCACATTGCTGAGAATTTCAAGTATGAACTGCTCTCTCTCCTTGTAAATAAACCCATCAGAGTCAACCTGGTTCTGAAACTCACCTTCTTATTCTTTTTTCTTCTTTAATTTTAATGTTTACTTATTTTTGAGAGAGAGAAAGAGACAGAGTGTGAGCAGGGGAGGGGCAGAGAGAGAGAGGGAGACACAGAATCCAAAGCAGGCTCCAGGCTCTGAGAGGTCAGCACAGAGCCCGACGCGACGCGGGGCTCAAACTCATAAACTGTGAGATCAGGAACTGAGCTGAAGTGGGACACTTAACCGACTGAGCCACCCAGGCGCCCCACCTCCCTACCTTCTTATTCTTAATCCAATTTCCAGATGCCCGTTGGCTTCTTAATTCTTTACCTTCCACTCAGTATCATTAAAGACTTTTCTTCGGCTTTGTGGCTTGGCTCCCCTGTCTCTAACCACTAAGTCCCACCCAATTTAGTCTCCAAATTCAGATTGGGTCTTTCAGGTGAACTATAACCTCTCCTACCTAATGTACAAGTGAAATCTGGTTTCCATCTGTTTATCAGTCTCTTTATCACCTAAACTTGTCTGAATGGGTCTTACCAAATTTGGAGAGTGTATTTGAGATTCTCTGAGTATCAAGGTTGGGAATTGCTTGAGCAGAGAATTAATTGAGGGGTGCTCTAGGGTTATCACCTACAGAGGAGGAAGGCAAAGGGAGGGGAGAAGGCAGGACAGAAGGAGGAAAAGGCCTCAGATAACCCAGTAGAGAATTCCACAGCTGAGATGCCCGTTCTCAGTGGTCCCAAGCTGGCATGAAGGGCCACACCTTTTCCATGTTGGTCCATCACTGGATATGAGCCGCCCCTAAAAAGGGGGGTAATTTTAGGCAAGGGGGCTCTTTGAATTGAGGATAATTCAAAGAAGCTGTAGGCCACCTTCCGCAGCACTCCCAACAGTGAGGGAATAAATCCTTCATTCCTAAAGGGGGATCTGGGCGGGGCATTGTAGTGTCCACTACTGTCCGTCTTCAAACAGAAGACAGCACATGAAATACACCTCATTTACTTTGTGGGGCTGGGGAGTCATCCTCAAGAGAAGACTCATCCTCAGAGCTATAAAGAGACCACACCATGCTTGTTAAAATGTCACAGGAAGTGGTTTCATACATGAAGGCTCTCCCTGCCAGAGCCTGTTTTGACCTAAGATCCATTCTCTTCCCTTCCCCTGGGTCACTCCTACCGGATGCGATTTCCAGGCCCCTGAATCAGCTGGCTTTAACCAATAGGAGATGGTACCTAGAGCCTGGAGAGTGAAAGAAAAAGGATAGGGGTATTTCTCCCCACCTTCTCCAATTTGGGCAGGATCTATGGAGGGGTCATTTCTCCTCCATGGTGCCAGTTCCTGCCAGAAGGCCCATTATGGTTCTAGCTCCCACCGAGGGTCCCTTCCCCCAGGTGCTGGCAAACACAACTTCCTTCCCAGGTGCTGGCAAACACGACTTCCTTCCTGTTCTACGAGCCTTGGATGGTAGTAGCTTCCCACTGTTCCCTATCCCTGGGCTGCCTCCACACCTTCTGCTTGACTTCTCTGACTCCCCCTTTACATATATTCCCTGAATTCAATTCCCTCTGTCCAACATTATCAGAATGCCTTTTCTGTTTACCTGGTTGGATCCCAACAACAGACCCCAATGCCAAAGCCTCAAGGGCACCCATTCCAATCCTAGGGGATGATCCCTGATCCATTTTCTTATAAGGACAATTCTATGTAGCAGGTTCCTGGGAGACGTTTCCGGTGCCTAGAACAGGTATTTACTTAACAACAGCTGTCGCTGTCTGGAAAAAGGCCTGGGGATGAGTGAACATTCAACAGTCTTTCTTTATTTTAGTCAATAAACCAGACCCCCAGTAAAAAGATTTCTGACCTACTACATCTACCATAATATTTCAACTTCAATTTCTTCCACATTGAACATTTTGTTCAAAAGTATAACAAAATTGGCTTATCTTTAAAATTTCGCCTGTCACCCTACCAAGTAGCCAAGACACTGCTTTACAGACGGAAATGGTTTCAAAAATGAGAACTAAAATTTGAAAAACTTGGATTCCCAAAATACCCAAAAATTCAATGTAAAAGAAACCTTTTATAAAGGATCATCAACTCTAAGATACTCCGTTTTGCTAAATCCTCAATGCTTCATAAAGAAACCATCTCTAGGTGTCTGTTAAAATCATTTTACCTTGGTGACTTCATAAGATATGGTTCCAGTCAAACACAATTATTTCAAGATGAATTTCAGACCAACTCCAAATTCCCATTTGTAGCTATCGCCAACAATTTCTGCAGTTCCAAAAAATTATCTTAGCTTGGGAAGACCTATTTAAGAAACAAAAAAGATGGCAAGGCATTAGCATTCTAATGTTGAAAGGATACAGATTTCCGGTAGCAAAGTACTGTTTTCTACAGTGAAATCTGCAGTTGCAGGACTGTGGTAGGCAACGGAATGCATCTATATTTTTAAAGTGTCCTAACACACAAGGGGGAAAGGATACAGAATCCTACGCTCACTAGCCACAGATGTGGCTACCAGAACACAATTTTAAAGGAAAAGTTCTCTCAGCAGCAAAGGCATTCAAAATTTGATGGAGGATCCCAAACCATTCATGATGCAAAATTCCAGTCTCCCCATTTCTTTAACATTGGGATGAAAATGAAGTGGGAGATGGCCCATTCCAAGAGTTCCGCAACTTGCCCAAGCTCACAGCGCAGTGGAAAAGCCAGCACGTCCATCAACTGATGAATGGATAAAGAAATTGTGGTTTATATACACAATGGAATACTATGTGGCAATGAGAAAGAATGAAATATAGCCTTTTGTAGCAATGTGGATGGAACTGGAGAGTGTTATGCTAAGTGAAATAAGTCATACAGAGAAAGACAGATACCATATGTTTTCACTCTTCTGTGGATCCTGAGAAACTTACCAGAAGACCATGGGGGGAGGGGAAGGAAAAAAAAAAAGTTAGAGAGAGAGGGAGCCAAAACATAGGAGACTCTTAACAACTGAGAACAAACTGAGGGTTGATGGGGGG